CTCTTTGCACAAGTCGAAATCCCGCGCCGATGAGCCCAATTTAGAGCGAGGCACTTGACGCAGTTTGCAATGTGCAAAGGAGCATGGTTAGAGATCCTTTGGCACGGTACACCATAGACTATGAGCGCTGAAGGCCGGCAGTACTAAGTTCTACAATGTGGGGCTCAGAGGGGGAGGAGTTGGCTCGTTTAGGTTGAACCGAAGACTTGCAAAGATTCCTCGACCAAAGTTTCAACGAGTACCCTTATTTCTACGTCTCTGAATAACCTTGGAATAGCTCGAGCCTGCGTAAAGTTTGCAAAAGAGGAGGCAAAACTCCCCTACATCTGGAACTCTCCCGGGTGTCCCTCATGGGCAAAATCCACCCATAGACTTTATCCAAACGTCCCACTGCCTCCTGTAGGGATCCATGGCAAAGGCGGCTGGATTTTACGGGTCAAGACGGGGCTAAAAGGCTACCAATCACCGGCAATAAGATATCTTCGTAGCAAAAGTGGATAGGAGCACGGTATGAATTGTGGCATGGGCCAGAGGTGATGGATTATCTCCATGTTTACACTCAATGAGCAACTACCTACGAACGCTCTTCATAACCCCAATTATTTAAGCTTAGACGTCCAGTCCCTCCCAAACACCGTGCGCTGATGATGTCATTCAGTTGACGACTTTCGACGTGATAAAACCCATGTGTCGCTGGCAAATTGATCAAGCCATCCGACAAAGGCCGGCGCATCGGAATCTTGAGTTCTAGATGTCTTTGGGGGGCTTCCATAGCTCGGCTTAGGGCAGTGGCGGAGATTGGTCGCAGGGATAGATGATTTCGCATCATTTGATTTATAATGCGCTATCTAGCTATGACACATGACCGATGCTCTAGCTACATTTTAGATATCCTTCTGACCAAAGAGTCTATCGAAGCATGGATGCAATTCGCAAATACCACCATGACCTACACTGCATTGAGCAAGACACCTGACACTGTAAAAATTGGCCAATGAGTTAAGAAGTGTGTCTGGAGTTGTTGGTCTCATAGTTTATCTAGAGGGTTTTAGACTAGCGTTGGCGGTTCAATGTGGAAGTGATGAAAGAACCCTGTCAAAAGCAAAATCATACACCTCAGTGGTAAGTCCAACTAAGTTTGCTCTGTTACTACTAAGCAGGTACGTCTCATTAGTGTCAAATCTCCCTCTCGAAACCAAGTCAGACAGAATATATTAATACGCTGATATAAATCTGGGTTGCTAGTGTAGATCGAAATAAGGCTCAGCATGCGAGCCACCTCGTTTGGAGCCGGTCGAGTGTACATACCTTCCCACGCCCGATATAGAATGCCAGTAGATATGCCTGCAACTGCTTCTCGCCAAGCATGGTCCAACTAGTTCACCAATTCCAATGGATCCTACTCCTCGATTACCCATCAAAGTACTATCTCGAAGATCTTTATTTATCCAAGGATATATTCATGCTCCGGTGTACGAGTACCTCGAAAAATGCGGTGGATTCTCGCTGGATCGCAACCAGAAATCTCTCCTGTCAAATTGGATACCAATCAAGACGCTATTCGGTCGGCATCCTAGACCATGTACCACTGCACCATGCAGCCGTTACAGCGCTTACAGTGTCCTCGGCACTCTCGCGAACAAATCTGTGAAGCGAAGGCCTGTGGGCGTATTACCACTAGAATGAACCTGTGAAGGATCTATGAGAGAGAGAGTTTACTATCCAAGACAGACATTTCCGGCCTCTAGGCAGAATAGACCGGCATGTCGTTGTGTGGTTATAGACTTTTGGAGACAGTTAACATACAAATACTTTTCAGCATGAGATCCTAGTTCCAAAATTCCCCTCCTGTCGAGGTTATGTCCATTCTTGGCGCCATCTTTTAAGTCTGTCCCGATAATTCTCATAATCATTCAGAAGATCTTCCCCACCAATTTTGTGTGCCGTGGCTTTTGTTCTCTCGCGGCTATTCGTATCTTCTTGCGCCTATACTTATAGGCCGGCTAAGGTCGGACCCGATACAGACGAAATTTACGATAATTGAAGTAAAGGTATCCTAGTTCCTACTTGAAGGCTTCACATGGCTTTGCTTGGAATTGATGTTGTCTGGGGTGAAAGGTTGATTTGGTTAGGGGTCTTGAGTCATCATCTCGTGGGCAAACTTCTTAGGCATTGCGACATTCGACTTCATTCGGCTGTGGAAAATCATTTCACTCTCAGTTTCATAGATGATATTGCTGACAGATATCCAGTCCTAATCTACCCGATGGTGGCGCCATTTAGACATAGAGACTCCTTAATAAATTCTTTACGTCGACGCCATACACTCGCTCGTGTATCCTCACCTATTCTAAAACGCAACTATGTGACATGATCCAAAACTAATATGATACACAACATCGTACCAGGAATCTAGGCTACATGGAAAACTCATCGGTCGATTACAATGTATTTATCCATTCCCAACATTAGGATACGCGTGGGTAGGCTGCGTTGTGATACTTTATCCTTTAATGGGTAATTAATAATCTAGACTGATCTTCTGGGCAAAGTGTCGAGCACAACTCATCCGAGCCGACAACATACCAAAATAACCTCGCTTAAGTCTTTTTCATAAATATTTCCAAACAATACAATTGGCCCTTATTATTCAGGTGATTATGCAAGGAAAAATTAATGGTCGTTATTGCTGCAATATGAAGGGGGTAGTTCATGGATCAAACATCAGCTCAAACTCTGTTGCCTCTGAAAGTCTATAGGCTAGGTCAGCGATAATGACGGAAATGTCGGTAGCATCATTTCCGAGGAGACCTAAGGCAAGCTGCGGGCTTAATAAACTCGATGTTCGTATTCTTTGAAGTGACTCACTCGCGCCGATGGAACTCATATAGAGTAATCCAGTTCAGGTTTTCAAGGAGATTCCGGATAACATAGACATTATTTCAATGCAAAGTAGTGTATTGTCGGTTGAGTACGTTAAAACCTAGTCATATCTCGCGCGGATCTCGTGTTTAGAAAGTCAAAAGCGACCTCGCATGACTAGATATTTTGAAACTTATCTTCGATGGTAAATTGTGGATGAGGATGGACTACGTATGTAAGCAATTGTGCCTTATATAGGTAATTGCAGATAAAATGCAAGGTAATACCATCTCCAGAGTAATAAGGCCACTCGGAATTTATACAAGGTACTGACAATTTTTTATGGCTGCATGGTTAAATAAAAATTTTAAAAATACAAATTACTATAACACTCTTCTCTACCTCCAGTGATCCAGCTGCTGAATTTTGAGGGAGGCGATGATTGGCTCAAAACTGAGCCAAAGAGCTGCTGATTTTTAAAACATCCACGAATCCTGCGCTTAGAAACGTGATGCTCGAGCGGCATGATTCAGATGCTTGGCTCGAAAACGCGGGTCATATTCCATTGAAAACGTGTTGGTGATAGTCGATCTTTGCGTGCAAGTCCGTGTAATTTTATCGGACGGATATTATTTCTCTTATCGAAGGGTCAGTGGTGAGGAGCTCGTGGATCTCCAACGAGCAATCTCGGAAGTCTTATCTATTCCACCAAACTGATTCGTAAAAAGGAATATACCCAAGTAACAGTCGAACGGTTCGTTGGGATATCGAAGTCCATCGTTTGTTACATAGGGTAACTGCGCAAATTGGTCGTGCTGAAGAGCACGGGAATATTTGGAAGAGTATCTACCGTCAAAGGGCTGAAAGCGACTAGTTGAACCCTAATCACATCTAACGCCAAATCTGCCCTAACATGTCTCGGACCCCAGTACCCTGCACATGGCTTGGCGTGCATTTGATGCCATCAAAGCGTCAGAATGCAGAATTATGGCTCCTTGCTTCAAATTCTATTCTCTCGCATCGCGTCTTCCTCTGAAGTTGAGAGTAGCTCCGTCACAATTTCAGGTGAAATTACTCAACCGATGCCTATGCTTTACGCACTGCAGCCTAGAACGACACCCGGAGTTTTTCGGTCGAGCTACGACGGGAGAGACGGATTTTTGAGGCGATCGAAAGCGTTGACGAAATGCGTATGTTAACAACCTAAAGCTTTGTCAAAGTGAATATGCGATGTCTGAATGGCTTACCATGGAGCGTGTCAAGTAATCTAGTTTAACTATCACTGCATGCTCCTTCGCTAAAGGGAGAAGACTGTCGACACGCTTGTAAAACACTTACCCCCGTAATGTCGCTGCCCACTGAAAAACTCAACAAGATCTGGTAGTAGCAACCTTGACGTTAACCTTATAGCGCTTGAGCCTATCATTGCACATTTACTTTGCAACATCCGTGCACTCGAAAAATGGCATACTTAAATGTGAACATAGAACAATCGAAAGCAGATATATCATGGTTACTCTTGTATGTACAGTTTGCATATTTACTGCGGTCGTTGAGAATGATGAGTAGAGAAAAGCGGTCCTGGTCGTTGGAGGCATCTAGAAATAGTATTTAATCGCTGCACTAAATAGCAGTATCTCTATTCATGATATTGAGGAAAGTCCAATGTAGCTAGCATTTTTTCATTGACTCTGCATAATCTATGCACGCCAGCCGGAGTGAATGTAGCTTGTGTTAAAGTCAATTTTGTGCCGATCACATACAGGAATGCACTTTCTGGGCTGCAGATGGTATATGTCAGTTCCCAACCTTATCTCACCCGACATGAATAATCTTGATTCCATAATCCCTCCCCCGCATTAATTGGGAGATGGCGCTTGGCAGAACCAAATGTGTGTATCCCTGCCTAGTCATTATACGTTTGGACTCGCACCAAATAGGCCTAGTGGAAATTCAAGTTTTCTTCTCTTCAAGTAAACAAATCTGGCACGCGGCTACCTCATCTGTAAGAGGCTACTACAATTTCCCCTCGCATATTAGACCTGCCCACATCCTCCCACTCGGGCCAACAGCAACTCAATTTTGCACTCATCACTCCAAACACAAATACAAAAAATCTATCACAATACTCTATTAAAATGTTATTTCAGTCAGCTTTATTGATGGCCGCCCTGGCTACTGGCGTCTTATCGCAGACAAATGCCAACTCTTCTATTGATCCATCCAGTGTAGATCCTACCATGAGAGGTAAGCGTTCTCAAACACTGCCAAAATAGTTGAAACTGCTCACAATTCATAGCACAATGGTGTCAAGGACAATCTAATACATGCGGAACACTATGTGGAGGAGATCTAGAGGCCAACGAATGCAATCCAGTATGTTTAACAACAAAGTATAGAAATCAGAGCTGATATCTCTCACAGGACAATCTCATCTTTTCATGCAAGTGTGCTTCAAACCACTCAGCTCCAGGGTTACAATATTACAAAGAGACTATGCCGACCTTTATATGCGAGAAAATATTTGATAACTGTATCAAAGCTGGCGAAAACTCCCAAGCAGCTCAGCAGCTTTGTACTACCAACGAACGGGCAAACTGTGGACACCTCAGTCCAGAAAACTTCACATCAAGTGCGCCCTCTCAGAGTAGTTCGGCATCGTCAACAACCGCAGGCGAAGCCGGTGCCAGCGCCACTTCCAACAAAGAGTCCGGAGCTGTCTCAACTATTGTCCCTGTTCGAAACTTCGGAACAGGAGCTCTAGTTATTGGAGTTGCCGCAGCAATTGGTCTCTTGTCTTAAATCAACTCTCTATAGCGATTGTAAAAGCCTCAAATTCATATGCCTATCACTGTTGATCAGATTGCTTTCTCCTAGGTTCGGCACCTGGAATTTGTACTATATTTTCTGTTTCGTTTGTTATCAGCCTGGGTGTTGCGGGAACTAATCTGTATAATTCAACTGCTCTTGCTAACAGCGATGACTGGATTACTTTCTCTAAAACTGTACTTATAATTGAATACTTAGTGACACTACAAAATACTGAAACACAATACATCTAAGAACCAGTCGTTGACCGACCCTCGATTAGTGGCAGTATCAGTAAAATCGAAAAATCTTGAATCCCCCTCCACGACTACCACATTCGGAGAAACATGAAATCTGAAATTGATACAACCTCAGACTTGGATACTCAAAAATTATTAAACCCATTCCATACAAAACGTACATTGCAGAAAAGCAAAGGTGGTAAGATACTGAACATGGTGTTAATAGTTGGTTTTCACCAAGCAATAAGAAGACTTAGCCCTTGGTGCCAAAACGCCCTATCATCGCTCAAAAATGGTAAAGCAAGCTTTTCTGTGGCTGCAAAGAAAAGAAAATCTAGTCTTATATTTGTATGCTTCATTAACGAACAAATATCTGACGCTAATGAGAGTTTAAACCCGAGGGAGAGCCTGACAGCTAAACCGCTAACCTTGAGTACTTCAAGGTATGACTGATGCTACGATGCGTTTTAGGTCGTATGTTGTCCTTGCAATGTCTAAGCCAGGATCTTAATTTTCCGCTGTCCTTAACGCGGGGCTAAAGGATGCGAGCAGTGTACATGAAAGGTACTGTCTAACCGGTCTGGCAGCGGTCAATTTACGGAATGATAAAAAGCTAATTTGGTAAAGATTACACTAGGTTCACGTATTGAGGTCTGTTGAGCCAATTAAATTTCTGTACTATACAGAAATTACATTCAATCGCATTAGGTCTAATACTGTAGGGGTTTCTACCATCTTGCCCTTTCATGTGTTGACAGACGTATTGCTCTCGTGTGTTTGCTATGTTACAATCTTTGTATTCAGTTTACAGTGTTGAGTTTAGCCCAAATAATTAGGAGTAACCTACATTTCCAGGAAAAGGCCACAGATCTATGAGAGCAATAAGGATAATTTAAATCAATGAATTTAGCCGCGGGCAGTTTAGGTAGTCTTGTAGATTCAATGGTAAACTTTGAAACGCCCCATGTTACTTCAGATATTCCACCGTCGAGGACCAGTGTGAAAGAAAAATTATATTCAAGTAGCCTTGAGCCCTGAGTGGGTAGGATAGCAGGGAGTAAAGGTTTTAAGATAGACAAGGGTTTTGAAGCAGTAGAAAGTGAAGTGAAGAGCACAAACAAGAATTTATAGTTCTGGGGCAAAAAACAAGGCCAAATTAGAAAATTACTTTTTTATACAAGAATAGACCCGCCCTTAGCTGTTACGCTGAATGATAATAAGAAGCACCACAATTCCAGTGGGATGTGATGAGCCTTGGTTAGAACGGTTATAGGCATTAGTCCTAAAACCTTTTGGTACTTTTAAAATCCCTCATCTCATGTGCAAGTAAAATTTGCGAGGTTAGGATGAAAGCCAAAAATCAGGATGCGTTGGAATTATTGACCAGTTTTCACTGGGGTAGTCCGTTCCAGGCCCAATTCGTTCCCATGTTTGTTGGTTGTTGTCCTGTCCAATTTTGGTTGTTAGCCTGCGGACCTGAACTGCTGGGTTGAACGTATTGTTGCTGAGCTCGGTCTGCCGTGTAGATACCATGGCTTGGCGTAGAATAATTCTGTGCAAAACCTGGTATTCCAGTATACTGGAGGTTTTGTGGTACCTGTGCATTGTTTGCAGGATGTCGTGGCATAGGCACTGGTTGGTGTGGAGACCGTTGGATACGGGGCGATGGCGATGCGTAATGGGGGAATGTTTGAGGTTGTGGCTGTGACTGGGGAGACCACATCTGCCCAGGTTGGCCGTAACCATACGAGTTATTACTTCCAGCTGTATTGATTCCCATAGATATACTCGGAGATCTTGCAACCTGACCAGGTTGCATGGAGCTCGAATGTATGTTCCGCATGGGTGAGTGTGCCATTGGATTTTGCATATGTGAGTTATGAGGATAATTCTGGCTTTGTATGGCTTGTTGAGATGAGGTTTCGGGTGGAGAAGACTGAAGGCCGTTTTGCCCGGTCCGTGGCGATGGTAATGCCTGCATTGGTAAATTGTCCTCCCTTGCAGTGACAGATGGTTGTTCTACTTTCGAAGATGGTATTTCATGAGGCTGTCTCCAGCGACGATGAAGGTACTCAAAGCTTTGGGTACGTTGTGAGTTGATCTGTTTGTTGTACTCGGCAGTCTGATGTGCACATGAAAGCAGGTCTATAAGCGGAGAGGGCTGAATACGGTCTTGGTATGCCGGACCTGTAATTTCCTGACGTGGTCGTTGAATATTACTGTAGTCCTTGAGGCGCATATCTGGTTCAGATCCCAGCGATATCATAGAGAGTGTAGGAGTCTCTCCAGATCCATTGATAATGCTAGTTTGGAAGTTTGGGTGAGATATGTGTGATGGGGCATTTCCCGTATTGTTTGAATAGAGGATATCATGACGAGGTCCCATTAGAGATGCGCTAGCACTTGCATCAGCAGCTGCTGCTGTGTCTCGGGCTTTGGCAGCTCCGGGCCTTTTTTCTCCAGCAAGATCTTCTTCAGTGAAGCCTTGCTTTCTGGCCTTACCTTCCCAGTAGTCATCACGTACTCGCCGTCCATCTCTGATAACTCTGCTTCCAAATTGACGGAACATAGATCTAGCACTAACGATAGCAATTTGACGTGATCGATAAGAGAAAGGTAGAATCTCCTGATGAATAAGATCTTCTTTCTCTGCCTGTGATGCAATAATCTTGAACAATGACCTGTTCTTATTGAAAAGAAGGTATGAATCTCGATAGCCTAGTACCCTTGCACACTCAGTAGCCAGCATGAAGAGTTTCTTTCCCCGATTTGGTACAAAAAATGTTCGACATTTATATTCGCGACCATCGCTCAACTGACCCCATAAATCTACTTTTTTCTCTCCTGCATCGTCATGTTCTCTGGGTAAATATTCATCGCCTTCCGGTCCAACCTGATCCGTCGTATGATCTCTCACAGTTGGCAATGCTTTGACAGCGGGAGGAGGCTTTGTCGGTGTTGTTCTAGGAGGTGATGACTGGCTAGGTGTTAAATTGGAATTTGTAGATACAGACTGTGAAGCCGGCGGTATACTATGAGATAACGTCATTGATGATTGGCTTGGACTTGCCTGACTTGTTATAGTCGGCCTTGTTATTCTCGTCGCTCGAGTTCGCTTTGCAGGCTTGGTGTAACCTTTGTAAAAAATTATTATCAGTATGAGCTTTTATGTGCGAAACTTCTTATGGGGACAATTTTTCTTGGCTTCAAGTCAAAACTTACCCTCATCGCCGAAGTCACTCTCTACTGGCGATTCTCGAGAGACAACAGGCGAATGACACCGTTTTATCCCGCGCGGGCTGTTTACAGCAGTAGTCTTGTCGCTAGTATCTTGCAAAGCTTCTGCTGAGGTTCGTGTGTTAGTTTTCTGTTTGGGGAATGTATGTATGCAGCTAGGAGCGATAGAAGAAACTCCGCACGGTTGCTAACATTCGCGACTTGGGATTAAATGAACATGGATGATATTTTAGATAACACATACCCATCTGTTTAGGAATGTTCGAATCAACAACCACTCCTAATAAACTCGTGTGCGTAGTATACATTTTTTTGGCAAAAGCGATGAGAACCGAGCTGCTCTAGGGAGGTAGCAAGGCGCATTAGCTAGCCCTCAATACTTCAAATGCTAACAGATGGCATGCTCTTCGGCACCAGAGAACCTTCAAATTCATTAAAATCAAACATTAGTTGGATCGAGAGCGTGCAAGTATTAGACACTATGAAGCTTGCCCTTCAATTTGAGGTAGCCATGGGGGGGCTCAGGTACGTAGTATATACGGTGAGACAAAGAAAAATAAGACCTAAGTGAAAAGAAATATCCACTAACACAATAATATCACGTTTAAATGTTTGTGAGCCAAGCATACACATACGCGCCATTTCTCCCCTCTTTGGATATTGGACCTGAGTCTAGAGCCGGTCAGAGTAGGCTTTCCTTGACAATAAGGTATCTCTATCCACATTGCTCTTGGAAACAGATTAATTACAATCCACTTCCAGAGCTCTAATTAACAATTTGAATTTCCTGTCTTCTGATTCGACTCGGCAAGATAGTTATAGCGAGAGCAGAGTTGACTTTGAAGTGAATGGGCAAGCCTTTAGGATCCCAATAAATCGCAGGCTCAAACGTTACAGAAGTTTTGAGCGTGTAATTTCGTCGACATTACAGAAGCCGAGAACAGACTACCCACAAGGACCATGTGAGAGGTAACGACAAGTATTAAAGTTAAGTCATTTAAGATGTAGTTTATTTGGGCTCTAAACAAGAAATAGATGTCACATGAGTATCTATGTTTGATCTATGTCCTCATCCATCTTCTCTCTGTACTATCGTCTTCTTGGCACACATTGAAGCCACAACTCAGTAGGCTCGGAAGCTTTTATCGTACGATGACAATTAATAGGTAAGTGATTAGACGAAGAGAGGTAAACAAGCTGCAGAGCGCACGTTCAGCAATTGGTAGTTAAAGAAGAAATTTGGAAAGTAGCTGTGACGTTAGCAACTTACTACAGAAAGAGCACGGATGGTGGAAGTAAAACGTATTTAATCTATCAAAAGACCAGCCTTCTAGCTACATATTTATCAACTGTGGATGACTTCATCAAAACCCAGTCCTCTGTAGCTAGTAAACCTGATGAATTGCGAGTGTGAAGCGTTGACAAAAGTGGAAGATTTGTAGGATCAGGCTGCTAAGATTAGATAGTCTAGGCGTTGTAATTCACGGTCTGGAATAGCTGCATTCAGCTCTACATTTGGGTTGTTTTGTGTTTGCACATTCTAGTTCCCATTACATTCTCAGAAACTGATGGGCACGTGCGTTCATCACACAATGGAGTGAAGTTTATAGGTCTGAAGTTATCAATTGCGCACAAAATTGCACGACACACGAACTGGGCTAACTAACTCTGGATTATTCTGAGCGAGCATACAACTCTTAAAATGCATGGGCTCTCATTGTATGAAAGACTGATTGAATAATACTTACCGATACCTACACTGGATCGGTACAATGAGTCCCCTAAAAATGTCTGGCTCATAAGCAAGGGTTTTCATGTCTCATTACCACACGTGTGTGCGTATTAATCATCTTCTGGGCTCCGCGTGCTAATGGTTGGCCTCGCACCGATCCCGGCGTTATTCATACCCGGCCGAAACGAAGCAATTTGCGGAAATATCGATCGGCGGATAAGAACGAGCTCATCATGCTTGCTAAGTCAATCGATACTAGAGTGGCGTGTTTGGAGGGCAAGACTGAACACCTGTACGCGGTGTCCTACGAATCTGGGAAGTGAAATATTCACCCAGAGCCAATTTCAGTCAAGCCTCGCAATACCAAACAAGCTGGCCCACGAGGCAAAATTTCAAATTACTCCACCCTGTCAATCTTTCACTCCCAAAGAGTCCGATTCTCAACTAAGCTTCATCAAGTCTACAAGTACGACCTAGTACATCCTCATCCCTATGACCATACCTCTCGTCGACTTTCTCTGGCCTCAGTTGACCACCAAATACACGCCCACGCCCACGCCCATATTTACACCCGAAGAAGGAAGCAAAGCGTGGCGCACAAATCTGGGAAACAGTTTTTTGGGATGGACGTGAGAGGGATCAGGACAAGTTTACAAGATGATGCGAAGGAAGGATATAACCTCGAAGGGCATGAAATTCCAAAATTTGGCAAGGAGTTTTACGAATTGGGCTTTGTGCGCGCCAAGACTTCGCTTGCGAGAGTGCAGCTGACACTATAAAAACAAGCCGACGATGGAAGGTGTTGTGATCCGCCTCCTGGTGGTGTTCTCTGGTATAGTTTGAGTAGCCTGGGCACCTACTCCACTTGGGAAGAAGACATCTCAGATTAAATTTCGCGCGGAGAAAAGTTGATGGATGACGGAGGCATGTCTAGATAACTCAGGGTTTTTGAGACGTTCCCCTGGGTGGGTATTCACGGATGAGGGTTGACTTGGGGTGAAGAAAAAGCCGCCATAACTTCGCAGTGGTACTTGTAAATGAAAGCCGAGACATGAGTGCTCTTCCTTTATATTGAGTTATCTTTTCTGCACATTTATTTGATATTGTGTCATAGCTAGATAGATGCATACGCAATTAGAATCTGATGCAAAAAAGAGCGATCAGTTTATTGTAATACTTGAGTCTATGACCGTATAGCACATAGAGCTCCTCTCTGATCCAGGCCACACCTTGTGAAGTGCACCTTACCTCTTATGTTACTTCAAAGATCATTGATGTGTTGCCCGTGATGAATAGCCATTCAACTCAATATTTACCGGTGGAACTCGGCCACCTTTTCCACGTAACCCTCTACCCAAAAAAAGAAGAGAAAAAAAAGCCATGGCCCTTTTTTTTGCATCAGATTCTAATTGCGTATGCAGCTATCTAGCCATGACACAATATCAAAGAAAAGTACAGAATAGATGATTCAACGTAAAGGAAGAGCACTCATGCCTCGGATTTCATTTGCAAGTATTAAAGTTCTAGGGGGTATCTGGAATGATAGAAGTGAACGCTGACCGTCAAGTCAATACTGTAGGAATCGTAAGATATTGGGGATTTAAGGATCACAGATAAATGGTTAGGATCAGTGAGGTTTTGGTTTTACTGAACTTATATTTCGGTAATTAAAAGTGTTTTTTATTTTTTTAATCTACATCTAATTGTCTATCTATGTTCTACCTCGCTTAGGTAGAAACATTGTGTTCTGATTACGTGATGGAATAACATTTACCCCACCGAGATCATCACCAACCGAGACCTCACCAAAGCTGGTAGCGATCGAAGATGAGTAGTCTTCGTCTACTCCGCACTGCGTGCAGTTCGGTCTGGCATGTCTAGATTTCAACAGCAAGTACCACTGCGAAGTTATGGCGGCTTTTTCTTCACCCCAAATCAACCCTCATCCGTGAATACCCACCCAGGGGAACGTCTCAAAAACCCTGAGTTATCTAGACATGCCTCCGTCATCCATCAACTTTTCTCCGCGCGAAATTTAATCTGAGATGTCTTCTTCCCAAGTGGAGTAGGTGCCCAGGCTACTCAAACTATACCAGAGAACACCACCAGGAGGCGGATCACAACACCTTCCATCGTCGGCTTGTTTTTATAGTGTCAGCTGCACTCTCGCAAGCGAAGTCTTGGCGCGCACAAAGCCCAATTCGTAAAACTCCTTGCCAAATTTTGGAATTTCATGCCCTTCGAGGTTATATCCTTCCTTCGCATCATCTTGTAAACTTGTCCTGATCCCTCTCACGTCCATCCCAAAAAACTGTTTCCCAGATTTGTGCGCCACGCTTTGCTTCCTCCGTCGGGTATAAATATCGGCGTGGGCGTATATTTGGCGGTCAACTAAGGCCAGAGAAGGTCGAAAAATGGTGTGGTCATTAGAATAAGGATGTACTTGGTCGTACTTGTAGACTTGATGAGACGAAAATAGGAGTCAAACTCGTTGGGTGCAAAATAACGACATGGAGGAGTAATTTGGATTTTTGCCTCGTGGGAAAACTTCTTTGATATTGCGAAATTTGACTGAACTTGGCTCTGGGATAATATTTCACTCCCAGGTTCGTAGAGGACACCGCGTACAGGTGTTCAGTCTTGCCCTCTTCTGATGGTGGTTAGCTTCATGATAGTGGTGATATGGGGATGTGCTTAGAGATTATTATCTATTTCATTTTATTGTCCTGTCTGAGTCTATGAATATGTAGGACATGCAGGTCCTCTCTGCCTACAGACCAAGGATACCTATTCCAGTAGTATATCCCCTCCTATGTCTCCCATACAGCTCCCCTCAAACAGTACCATCCCTCACAAGTCCTCATTCGATCATACACTAAGAGGAGCCCTTAACCCTTCATTATCTCGCCTCTCCAGCCAACGAAACGATGGCCATTTGCAGGTGTATGGCAGCCGGGAAAAATCGCAAAAACCACTGGGTGCGGAGCTCTCCTAATACCGACATTAGGGCTAGAGTTTGGAGGAATAAACAGCTTGTATGTTGGGATTACAGGGTGATATCACGTCTCTACTGGAGTAGGTAAAGCTATGATATATTTGATTTGTTGATGATTTTTCTACTTCTAATCTCTTACTGTAAAGTACAGCTAGGGGTCAACCCTTGTATACTAAACAGGTCATGTGATCTATGTCACATGACTATATACTGTGTTATACCAACACTGGCAACTCTAAAGTTTGAAATGGGTGTCTGCTCTCTTCCGCCAGTGCGAGAAGCTAGGAATACACCAAATAGCCTTCTAGAAGTCTACAGTGATTATTCTTCCGAAATCAGGAAACCGAGATCCCACCCTCCCGAAGTCCTATAGACCAATCTCCCTCCTTTCATGCTTAGGTAAAGGCTTTGAGCGACTGATAGCACGGCGACTTTCGTTAATAGCTCTGAAATATCGGGTACTAGCTGAAGACCAATGCAGTGCCATCCCTCTTCGCTCTACTTCTGACCTTACCACAGCACTTGCCTGCGATATCCAGGAAAAATGGATGGAAAAGAAAGTAGCAGGTATAGTGACTGTC